CCTGATGATTATTTTGTTGTGTTGGTTGGAGATATGATCACTGAAGAAGCCCTACCAACTTATCAGACAATGCTTAATACCTTGGATGGAGTTCGGGATGATACTGGTGCAAGCCTTACTTCCTGGGCAATATGGACCAGGGCCTGGACTGCCGAAGAGAACAGGCATGGTGACCTTCTAAACAAGTATCTTTATCTCTCGGGACGAGTAGATATGAAACAAATTGAAAAGACAATTCAATATCTTATTGGATCAGGAATGGTGAGATATTTGTTTGTTTGTTTTTCGGTTTTTAATTATTTCCTTGATGATGATTTTTTTTTTTGAGTCAATGCTTAGGAATTTGGTATAATAGGAAAGCTTAAGGATTTATATCAATCTTTGAGGAATCTAAGTGCCGGAGTAAGGTGCAATTTCCTTTTTATCTTATGTTGTTGGTCCCGACTCCCAAGTATAACACAATAGGAAAGACAATAATTAGTGAATTTTTTTTAACAGTAAATGTTATTAAATTTGTTTTGTTGCAGTCTAATCTTTGGTGGTTCCACCAAATTATGAATTCCTTCATGTCAAAATATGGCATGCTTCAATTTGTGGTGATGATTATGATCAGTAACTTGGACAAACTATTGTACTACAAACTACTGTCTGATATTTTCTTGTTTTTAATTCAGTCTTATTATATCCTGCTTTTCAATTTTGTGTACTTTGTAGGATCCTAAAACAGAAAACAATCCTTACCTTGGGTTCATATATACTTCATTTCAAGAGAGGGCAACATTCATCTCCCATGGGAACACAGCCAGGCAAGCCAAAGAGCACGGGGACCTGAAATTGGCTCAGATATGTGGTACCATTGCCTCGGATGAAAAACGCCATGAAACTGCCTATACAAAGATTGTGGAAAAGCTCTTTGAGATTGATCCAGATGGCACTGTCTTGGCTTTAGCTGACATGATGAAAAAAAAAATATCAATGCCAGCCCACTTGATGTACGATGGTCAAGATGATAACCTTTTTGAACATTTCTCAGCTGTTGCCCAGCGGCTTGAAGTGTATACTGCTAGGGATTATGCTGATATTTTGGAGTTTTTGGTTGGAAGATGGAACATAGAGAAGTTGACGGGTCTCTCGGGTGAGGGACGTAAAGCGCAGGATTTTGTGTGTAGATTGCCGCCCAGAATTAGAAGGTTGGAGGAGAGGGCTCAGGGAAAGGCCAAGCAATCATCCACTGTTCCAATCAGCTGGCTTTTTGGTAGAGAAGTAAAGGTTTAAAAGTAACTTTAGAAGAGTGTTTTCGTTTTTCTTTCAGAATGTGTTTCTTCTGTATGCCCTTTCAATGGAATGGTGTGCTTACTCTCTTTCTCAAGTAATTTGTCAATAATTTTTTCCCAATTCCGTAATTACGAATGAAATTATTGTGGATGAGTTAATAGAAAGAAAGAAATTAATTGAAGGTAAAAAGAAAATAGAACAAAACTTCCATATAACAGATGAAGAAAGTACAATTTTCCTGATCCTCACAACAAACAACTGAATTGAATCGAATCGAATCGACGAATTACACAGCAAACAACATGTATATAATTTGATTTAATCAATAGAATAGAATGAAACGAAAGCAGCAGATGGAGATGGATATGATAATTGATTGAATGAATGTTTAGACTTGGAATGGCCAAGGCCAGTCCTTCAAGTCCTCCTCTTGTTGCACCTTGGAACTCCTCATAGCAGGAGAAGCAGTAGTAGTGCCTTGGACAGAGGCATAGTACTTGAGGAAAAAGGCGAGGGTCAAGACCACCCACTCCAAGCAAAAGATGACGACACTGAGGCCTCCAGCCAATTTGAGTATCACAGCGCCGTCCTCATCCCTCACGTACGACCTCAGCTCCCCAAGAAAGTCACCCGTCCTCGTGAAGATGAGTACTGACACTGACCCCTGAAATATTGCTGTCAGCACTGTGGCCACCATGTGGGCTCCATACCATTTGCCTGACGTCGTCCCCGCGGAGGCTGCCGCGCATCCAGATATGGCCCCCCCAATTGTGAATATGTGGAGGAGGATGAGGAAGAAGCCGCACACTGAGGGGAGCAGCCGCAGAGACAGCGTGAGGAAGATGCAGCTGGAGGCCGCGCCTAGCAAAATGTAGTTGCACAACAGGAACACCTTGTGGGTGTGGTACTGGGAACCAGACCTTGCTCCTCCTGCGCCGTTGGAAATATTCATCGACAGACCACCCATTTTTATACTCTACTTGAGATCCTTACTTTCCTCTGCTTCAACTACTAAATTTACCTTTACTACTCTGCTGGGATTTGGAAGCTCTGATCAGAAACTAAAATGGTGGCTTTTGGAATTTGCAGGTATGTGTGAACCTGATTTTGTTTGAGAGAGAGAGAGAGAGAGAGAGAGAGAGAGAGAGAGGAATGTGATTCAGATTGTGGGGGAAGATACATATATATATAAACATGGAGTATAGTACTCAAAAGGGCAGTGAGGCCTAACGGTCATTTTTCCTTTTGCTGTCAAGCGTGTGTTGTGTGAGGGTCAGAATATGACCGTTAGAGTTGGGACCCAACTACAACCCCACATTAGCATATACATAGAAAGCTGTTGTAACGGCTAGTTAATTAATTTTGCTTTTAGTAATTAACTAGGACAAGTCTCCCACTCACAGTCCCAGTAAGAGGAGGAGGAGGAGCGAGTGCTTTCCGTTTTCTTATTTCTTTTTCTTTTGGTTGGTGGCATACATTTGATTTTTAAAATTTTGAATTTTGCTGGTGGCATTCATTTGATTTGAGTTGAGGCCAATACCCCAACAGCCTATTCACTAAATTAAAGCCCAAATCAAGTGAAAGACCAAAACAGCTTCACGCACGCTACTCCCTATTACTATTAGATCTGATCTGGCCCAAACTCACACTCATGAACAACCAACCTCCAAGGTGATGGAGTAGTTCGATGGTGAAGGTACAATATATGGGTTGTAGATGTGGACTTTCATATTAACCACATTATTCATTTAAATAGTAACTTTACTTAAGTTTAATGAAATAATTATGTGACTAATATGAAAATCCACATGAGAAGTGCATATATAACATCCTCATTGTAGAATTTTGCCAAGAGGATGATAGTTGTTGCTTTGCATAATGATAATTGATAATGCATTTGTATAGTTGTTGCTTTGCATAATGTAATTGATAATGCATTTGCATGCCATCGATCTAACATGCTAATCAAACTAATCCATTCTATATACTATCTTTTTGTTCAATCTAATCAAAATAATCCAAGTTTATTTTTCTTGATGATGCAATAGTGTTATATATATATATATATATATAAATGAACAAAAATAACCAAAATTTAACCCTTAAATTCATAAATGTCAGTTTTTTAAAAAACTTTCAAATATAGCCAAAAATTCACTTAAATTGACCCAAATGCCATCTAAATTAAAACCTAACCAAAAAACATGCTCTTCCAAGCCGTAAGCTACTGAGCACAACCCTCACTCTCCACCAAGCCTACCCTCAAACACAAGGACACTGCCCCTCGCCAATCACCCTTAATGGAAAGCAAAGTTAATATAGGCAAGTTTTTCTAGACCTCTTGTGCTGAAGGAAGGTAGCAGCACATATGATGGTTTGCAAGAAAGTTTAACCCCCATATCATATGCAGACTAGCATTATTTATGATACGAATTTTACAAGAAAGTTCAACTTTTTTTCTCAATTAAAATTTATCATGTCAAGAAACTGACTTTAACTTTTTTTATTGTAAAAAACTCCCAAACCCACGAATCAAGCCATAGTCGCAGAGATGATTTTTATTGCATGGATTTATGAAAACATCGGCTGTTACTTTTCTTCTTCTTTTTGGTAATTACATTGTCATTTTTATAATAGGATTCATAGACATGATTAAGTTGACGAAGCCAATCTTGTTTTTGTGCTCCTGTTATTTTGGGTTTTAGCTTTTAGGTGTGTAATTGAGTTATAATTTAGAGGGCATTTGGGTCAATTTAAGTGAGTTTTTGGCTATATTTGAAAGTATTTTAAAAAACCGACATTTATGAATTTGAGGGTTAAATTTTGACTGTTTTTGATAAACACTCATGAATTTGGGTTTGGGTGCAAATTACGAATTACAATACAAGGGTTTGGATTGGACCTCAATTTGGTGGGTTTGGCGTGGAAATGTTTGGGACCCAACCCAAATCAACCAATGGCCTAGAAATGGAAACCAAGTCAGCTCATGCTGCCTGCCTGCGAACGTGGTCAAGTGTAGAACGAGCCCAGAGTTTTCCAATCAATCAGAGGGCAGAGCAGACGGAGGGTATTATTACACAATTACCACCACACGCACGCTCTCGGCTTGGTCCGTTCGTCAGAATCGCCGAGGCAGGCAGAACGATGTCGTTGCAGAACGGCTCGGAGAATCATCACCCTCACCCAGAAGAAGAAAAAGAAGAAAAAGAGAAAGAAGAGCAACGGCATCAGCAATCGGGTGCGTGCAATTACATTTTGGCAAAATTATTATGTATTTGATTCGATTTGATGATGATTCGACCAAAAGCCTTGTTGTAACCTGTATAAATATATATGTGTGTGTGTAAAATGCAAGAAAGAAAAGGGTCTGGAAATTTGATTTTTGATATTTGATTCTTGCTTGCTTGCTTACAGGCTCGGAACAGAAAAGTTTGGGGATGGAAGGGCAGCCTGAAACGTTGAGTGAAGTAGGATGGTTCATTCTTGGTGAAAATCAACAACATGTTGGTCCATACGCATTTTCAGAGTTGCGTGGTGAGTTTGCTTGCCCTCCCATTATATTAGAATTCAGATAGGATGAATGAATATCAATTTGGTTCCATCTATTGTCTGGAATTCACTTGATTACTATGTCATGTTGAATGAAGAAATTAAATTTCAGTTAATCTTATGCATGCTCTTTGCTCTTACTTCCTAAAATTAAATTTACTGGCGCATTGTTTTGTTCTTCTGAATTTCAGCTCTACTGGTAATCTGATAGAGTACTCTTTCAGTTTCAGAACTATTGTTCCATCAATCTCTATCATGTTCGATTTCACTTCTACTTTGCTTATTTACTTCGCCTGGACAGAGCATTTCTTAAATGGGTACCTCACCCACACTACACTTGTCTGGGCCCAAGGAAGAATCGCATGGCAGTCACTGTCCTCAATTCCCGGTTTGATCACAGGAATATCTCGCCATGACCAAGAACCTCAGTTTTCAAACACAGGTCAATTGAATGCTTCTCTCTTTTTCTTTTTTCCTTATGGGAATTGTGACTACCAGTCCCATCCCATGAATTATACAAGGTCTTACAATTTTGTTTCTCTTCTTCTCCAGTGCCCCCTACTGATGACAACGACGATGACTTTGAGAAATGGCGGAAGCAGCTTGGTGAAGCAGAAGCAGATAGTGACAGACCTTTGACGCCACCAGAGGGTGAGGAAGAATTCACCGATGACGATGGGACTAAATACAAGTGGGATCGTGGTCTTAGGGCTTGGGTTCCTCAGGTTGGTTCATGGAGATATAATATGCCTTTGCTTTCATTTGTTCATGGTTTCTGCCAAGTTTTAGAGGTTTAGTTAATTTTTTTCAGTGGTTTTGTTAAAGGTTAATTGGAATTGATATACTTAGACACGTTAATTTTATTTAAGTCACTTTTAATTCTTATTATGCCTCCAGATTCACAATCCCCTGTGAATATAAATGATTTCCTTTATCGAATCTTGAATCTCAACTCAACTTTAAGACATTCATTTCCATCTACATGTTGGGAATGAATCCTTAAATCAGATGGGGGTTATCATGACTGCACCTGCTCTCATGAGCTCTTCCATTAGATGGAATGTGTCAGATACGCATATGACCCAGTGCTCTGGTCAGAGAGTCGGCACAGTTCCTTGGTCAGAATAACGCCTAGTAAAGAGAGGCAAACTCTGACTTTCATACGAGCTTCATTTGACTGAATCTCTTATATCATAATTTGGTGATTTCATTCTTATAATATCTATCAGATGTTTGGATTGTGCAATAGATTTCATGTTACATTCACCAATATGGGTATTTGTAGTTCTAGGCTCAAAGTTAGACAAGTACCCGAAATCCTGGTAAAATGTTCTCTCTCCTTCCAAATTTTATGGGTGTTGGGTTTTGTTTTCTTCCTATTCAAAATACGTTTGTGCACTTGTAGGCTGTATGAAACACAGCTTATTTCTTCTCCGAAAACAAATCGCTCACTTGGAGGGCCATAAGGATGCTCGTGACTCATAAAAATAACAGTATATCTATGGTTTTTTTCCTGAGTCTCAAGTCAGTTACATTGATAATTGGTAGG